CCCCCAACCCCAAAAACCCAAAGCTGAGCCCCCTGTGCACTCACTGCGGGGGGAGAAGGGGGAGGAAGGGCAGCTTCATATCCCCTCCTCATCCCCCCAACCCCAAAAGCCCAAAGCTGAGCCCCCGGCGGATTCACTGCAGGGGGAGAAGGGGGAGGGAGGGCAGCTTCCCATCCCCTCCTCATCCCCCGACCCCAAAATCCCAAAGCTGAGCCCCCGGTGGATTCACTGCGGGGGGAGAAGGGGGAGGGAGGGCAGCTTCACATCCCCTCCTCATCCCCCCAACCCCAAAAGCCCAAAGCTGAGCCCCCGGCGGATTCACTGCAGGGAGTGAAGGGGGAGGAAGGGCAGCTTCACATCCCCTCCTCATCCCCCCAACCCCAAAAACCCAAAGCTGAGCCCCCGGCGCACTCACTGCGGGGGGAGAAGGGGGAGGAAGGGCAGCTTCACATCCCCTCCTCATCCCCCCAACCCCAAAAACCCAAAGCTGAGCCCTGGCGCACTCACTGCAGGTACATGTAGAGGATGGCGCAGGAGGAGATGTAGGCAGAAATTCCCAGCAGCTGCCGGGTGGGATGCAGGCGATTCCCCACCGCATCCATGATGTCCATGGCCACGTCTGCCAGTGTCTTGCTGGAGTTGAGGGTCACGTCGAAGTGATGAGAGGCTGAAATGTTGAACTCAAATTCCCTACGCAGGCGGTCCAGAGCTCGGTTGATGGCTGAGGGGTGACAGTGGGATGGGGATGGGGTGGGGGGAGGGGGGGAGGGACCCCAAAGCCCACAGCAGAGACAGAGGGGGATGGAGAGGGACCCCAGACCCCATAGCAGAGCCAAACTGGGACTGAAAGGGACCCCAGACCCCACAGAAAGGCCAGAGGGGCAGAGGGGGATGGAGAGGGACCCCAGACCCCACAGAAGAGCCAGAGGGGCGGAGGGGGATGGAGAGGGACCCCAGACCCCATAGCAGAGCCAGAGGGGAATGCAGAGGGACCCCAGGCCCCATAGCAGAGCCAGAGGGGGATGGAGAAGGATCCCAGACCCCATAGCAGAGAGAGAGAGGGAGAAGAAAGGAGTACAGAGGGACCCCAGACCCCACAATCAGATGAGGACTGAGGGAGGCAGAGAGGGACCCCAGACCCCACAGCAGAGCCAGAAGAGGATGGAAAGGGACCCCAGACCCCACAGCAGAGCCAGAGGGGGATGGAGAGGGACCCCAGGCCCCATAGCAGAGCCAGAGGAGGATGAAAAGGGACCCCAGACCCCACAGCAGATCCAGAAGAGAATGGAAAGGGACCCCAGACCCCACAGCAGAGCCACAGGGGGATGGAGAGGGACCCCAGACCCCATAGCAAAGCCAGAGGGGGATGGAGAGGGACCCCAGACCCCACAGCAGAGCCAGAGGGGGATGGAGAGGGACCCAAGACCCCACAACAGAGCCACAGGGGGATGGAGAGGGACCCCAGACCCCATAGCAAAGCCAGAGGGGGATGGAAGAGGGACCCCAGACCCCACAACAGAGCCAAACTGGGCTCAGAAGGATCAGAAGGGGACCCCAGACCCCCCCAGATCAGAGCTGGGATACTCACGCTCTGCGATGACCCTCCTGAGGAAGGACTGGACGTACATGGGGATGATGCAGAAGAAGAGTCCGACTGCGGGAAGCGAAGGGTCACCGTGAGGGGGTCGTGGGGAGGCCGGGAGGGGGGCCATCGCTGCGCCCACCCCTCCTCTTACACACGGACACGGAAAGGGGTGCACGCACGGGCGGCGAAGCCGCAGAGGGGTCTGAAGGTGATGATGATGTAGCAGAGGAAGAAGAGGAAGGAGAGCGCGCGCTCGCAGTTGTCCTTGGCGTCGGAGAAGACGCGCAGGCAGCGTTGGAAGGGGGTTCCCATCTCTCGGTTGCAGACGTCGCCAATGTTGCTCAGCCAGAGCCAAACGTTGCGCAGAGCGCGGGCTGGGGGCACAGATACACACACACAGGGGTTGGGGGGAGGGGGCTGGGGGTGTTGGGTGGGGGTCGGGGTGGGGGTCTCACCGACGTGGGTGATGCCGTCGATGATGGCGCGGAAGAATTTGCGCACGCGGTCGCCAACCACTTTGGCTTTTTGGGCGATGTCTTTGATTTTGGAGAGGACGTCTGCAAAGAGAGCGGCTCTGAGTGGGGCGGCAATGCCCACTGCCCACCTTGCCCCCA